TTCCAAGTAGCTGGAACTACAGGCAAGACTGAGGCAGAAGGGTCGCCTGAGCCCAGCAGTTTGAGTCTGTAGTGGCCGTGAGCGTACCACTGCACTCCAACCTGGGCAACAGAGTGAGACTCCAACTCAAAAAACAAAAAAGATAGAAATAGGAAGCTACTATGTTTCATTGATTCAGAAATGTTCTGTTTTTATATATTAAAATCTCTGAGTAAAAAGTAAAGTAACAGTCACTTTTTGCATCTAGAGTATGGGGGGCTGGAGGTGAGTTAGCATCATTCTCTGAGAATAAGTCAAAAGTAGACAAGTTCCACGTAACTACAGACCTTAAGACTGTAGCATCAAATAGCCTTTGTTTTTTCTGGATTGTTTTAAGAAATGCTTCGTCACCACCTTGATTGATGAATCTCTTGTGGAAAAACCAGACAGTGACACCAAGATGAAAAGTGATTCAGAGTGAGACTATTGAAGAACTATTAGTTCTAACCATTTTATATCACTTACATTTTCCTTTTTATGAATGCTCAACTATTATACAATTTCAACTAAAGTACTTTGAATAAATTTATAGATTTAAAATTTGTAAGTGACCAAGTATTGTGTTAGTTAATTGGAAGCATTTTTCGTTAATTGGAAACATTTTTCTTGGTACAGGGGAATTTTTAATCATACCATCTGATGCCTTAGGTTCAATAAAATGTAATGCTTAAGTATGACAAAGACTGTTTATCAGAAATTTAGTTTACTTTTATTGGCAAAATCATCATACATTTCCATTAAAATCAGATATAAGATAGTTGCCTATAGGTATTACTGTTGAAGGTTTTAATGTGCTAACGCAAAAAGACAAGAAAAGTTAATAATTGAGTCGAATCATAATTCAGATTGAACATCCCTAATCTGAAAATCTGAAATGCATTAAAATAGAGAAAAATAGTCTATTGACAAGATAGCAAAACCTTTCAACTTTGAGGAATACATTTAGTAATATATATTTATGAAGATTGCTAATTTTTTCTTGAAAGAACTGTGATATTGAACATAGTAGCATAATGTTTCTGGATATAAAAAGACTCAAAATAAAAAATGTAGTTCTTTGTAAAATAACAAAATTTAATACAATGATAATACCAATGGGTTTTGATTTTTTTTTTTTTTTTTTGAGTTGGAGTCTCACTCTGTCGCTCAGGCTGAAGTGCAGTGGCATGCTCACCGCCACCCCAGTGTCGACCTGGTAGGCTCCAGCGATCCTTCCACCTCAGTCTTCCAAGAAGCTGGAACTACAGGCACACGCTGCCATGCCTGGCTCATTTTTGATTTATTGTAGAGATGAGATCTCGCCAAGTTGCCTGGGCTGGTCTCGAACCCACAGGCTCAGGCAATCCACTCACCACGGCCTTCCAAAGTGCTGAAATTACAGGCTGCGCCACCGAGCCCAGCCCAATGAGTTTTGAAATTTAATAAAATTGTTTGAGTTTATACATAAGAATGTGTGGAAATTGCCAAAAAAAATTAGAATATAGTGAGAAAGAGAAGAATTTGTCTTACCAGATACTAGCACTTTTAGTAAGATACTGTAATTGACTGGGCACAGTGGTTCAGCCTGTAATCCCGGCACTTTGGGAGACTAAGGCGAGAGGATTGCCTGAGCCCGAGGGTTCGAGACCATCCTGGGCAACTTGGTGAGACCTCATCTCTACAACAAGTCACAAAAATTATCTGGGTGTGGTGGCATGCATCTATAGTTCCAGCTACTTGGAAAGCTGAGGCGGAAAGATTCCCTAAGCCCAACAGGTCAGGGCTGTGGTGGCTGTGAGCATGCCTCTGCACTCCAGCCAGGGAGACAAGAGTGAGACTACAACTCAAAAACAAAAAAGGTACTGTAATTGACATCAAATAGATGTGGAAAAGTATAAGGGAACTTAATGGGAGTAAAATATTTTAGTTTAAGAAAAGAGAATGGTTAAATAAATGGAACAAGTATAATTGTCTTATGTGTAAAAAATGTAGAGCCCTACTTCACTCTATAAACAAAAAAAAAGATTTTAGTTGGAGTGTAAGTTGTTTGTAAATAAAGATATTTGAAAGTCTCGGAATGTATTTGTATAACCTTAATTTTTTAAAAAACCCAAAAACTATACCTTGAGTACATTTAAAAATTAATACGGTAATGAAAGATAAAAATATGCCATTAAGTAAAGGGTTCAATCAAAAGGTAAAACAACTGGGAAAATACTTTTTCCCACATATGACAAGCAATAGATCCGTGTCTCTTAAATAAAAAACAAAACTACAAATTATTATGACAAACAACTATTAAAAAATGATCAGTGAGCACAGGATATAGATTATTTACAGAAAAAAAGCTTAATGTGTAATAAACCATGTTTAAAGGATGTTCAACCTCTCTAATCAGAAATGCAAATTTAAAGCAAGCATGACGATACCATTTTTTTTACTCTTCACATAGGTAGGCTTACTTGTAATGCAGATACATCTACTTTGAGTGAAGAGCCTAGGAAATGGGCCCTCATATGTTACAGTTAGGAGATACTATTGCTTTTACTCTTTTCCAGTACAAACACAATTGTAAAAAAAAAAATCACTAAACATACATCCTTATATATTAGATTTATCTCAGAGGGATGACTGAGTAAAGAGGTGAATATATTTTATACTTTTACAGATATTGCCAAATCATCTGCCTTTCACCTGCAAAAAGGTGGGTGATTTGGCAATATCTGTAAAAGTATAAAATATATTCATCTCTTTACTCAGTCATCCCTCTGAGATAAAACTAGTATATAAGGATGTATGTTTAGTGATTTTTTTTTTTTTTTTTTTTTTTTTAACAATTGTGTTTGTATTGGCAAAAGAGTAAAAACAACTTCAATCTTGAATGCCTATTAGTATATGATATACTAGGGCTGTGTTAAGCAAGTGTGCTTTAAATGTCTGGCTAGTATCAAAAAGAACATATCCGCAATATGATATTAACTGGAAAATAAAATTGTATGGTAATATCTCATTTCTGTTAAGAATACAAAAACAAGCCGGGCTCGGTGGTTCAGCCTGTAATGCCGCACCTTTGGGAGGCTGAGGTGAGTGAACTGCCTGAACCCGTGGGTTCAAGACCCGCCTGGGCAACTTGGCGAGACTTCATCTCTACAATAAATAAAAAAACTAACCAGGCATGGTAGCGCGCCTGTAGTTCCAGCTACTTGGAAGGCTGAGGCGGAAGGATCACCGGAGCCCAGCGGGGCCAGGCTGCGGTGGCCGGGAGTGGCCACTGCACTCCAGTCTGGGTGACAGAGTGAGAGTCCAACTCAAAAAAAAAAAAAAAAAAAAAGAATACAAAAACATACATGACAATTTGTATAATCAACCTTTAATCCATAGAAATATAAATTATTAACATTGCTTACCTCAGCGTAGTAAGGATTGGAATACAATTGGCTAGGAGGAAAGGAGAAGAAATTTGTTTTCTGTTGAATGTGACCAGGTATTGGAAGATACAGGCTTTCATGTTTTCAAAATTTTCCTTTTAAGCAAAATTTACTGCTCTTTAAGGCAGGCTAGAAGAGTTCATATAGCAATCTATTATTCTTCTGGACTTTTCAACTCATTTGAGAGAAACTTTTAGTTCCAGTTCTGTGCAGAATGTATATACTCGTGAAATATACACTCATATACACTCTTGTGCAGCTTTCCTATTCAAAGGCAATGTATATTCTAGATGAGACACTTGGAGAGGTACATTGTGAAAAATCTGTGCAACTGAAGGAAGAATCAATAACTGTTTAAATGTTAATTTTGATAGTTAACATTTTATCCAAACAGCTAAACTTTTATTTTTCTTTCCTAATAGCTCCATCAAGGCACAGTCCCTGTTTCTTACACAGTAACAACAGTGGCACCACATGGAATTCCACTCTGCACAGGCCAGCACATCCCTGCTTGTAGTACACAACAGGTCCCAGGATGCTCTGTGGTTTTTAGTGGACAGCATCTCCCTGTCTGTAGTGTGCCTCCTCCAGTAAGTCTGTGCCTTTGTTCTCATTAGATCTTACTGTTAATGTTAAGCACACCAACTTGAATTTGGATATGTAATTTATAACTCAGAATGCCCTCTTTAGAATGGCTTAAGTGCATTATATAAGCAAACATAATTTAAGAGTTTCTCTGTATCTTCACTTCGAAGTAAACAGGCCAATTTTACTTCAGCAGAAATCTCAATAGCATCTTTATAGTAATTATTTAATAAAATTAGCTTTAAAACCTGAAATATAGTGGGATGGTGACTTATACCTGTAATCCCAGCACTTTAGGAGAAGAAGGATTGCCTGAACCCATGGGTTCAAGACCAGCTTGGGCAATTTGACGAGACCTCTTCTCTGCAATAAATACAGAAATTAGCTGGGAGTGGTGGCGCTGGCGAGCCTGTGTTTCCAGCTACTTGGAAGGCTGGTGCAGAAGGATCACCTGATCCCAGGAGGTCAAGGCTGAGGTAGCCATGATCGTGCCACTGTACTCCAACCTGGGTGACAGAATGAGACTCTGACTCAAAAAAACTAGAAACTTGAAATACTTTTACATTAATTAAATTATAAACATTTGAATATTCTGAGGGTCAAACTATGTTTTCTCATTTATCACCATCTTTTATAATTAAAGGTTGATATTCATAATGAGAGGCCAATGAAGGTAAGTCTAAGTCTCAGAGACCTAGTATTCAACAGTTAGTCTCAGCACTTCTGCATTTTAATAAGCACTTTGAGTGCTTAGTCTTATTCCTCACGTTGGGAAGCCTGAAAAAAATGGGGATGAAGGGCCAGGCTCAGTGACTCACACCAATAATCCCAGCACTTTGGGAGGCCGAGGTGAGAGGATTGCCTGAGCCCACG